TCATTTTGGGGAGGTGGGGGTTGTACTTCCCAGCTGCCTACTTAGGCAGTTAAGCACTAAAAGCTCTATTTCCCAAGCAGAAGGGTTTAAACTGCCCTGAGGTTGCTGTTCACAGTAAGGACCCCGTGCCAGTCCCCCAGCTATCGCTGCGAAGATCCCAGCCCTCACAAATAAACGATGACAACGGGACGGAATCCAGCCCGGCTGGCGTTAACGAAATGAGAAGTTCGTGAAGGTTTTCAAAAAACCAGGCAAATGTCAGTTCCTCCTGCATGTCGGAAGCAGACAGGAGGCGAGCTGGGCAGAGAGGAGACGCTATATGCCTCAGCTATTCAAAGCCGTTCAAGTTTTGCAGGGGCCCCGGGGAGTATTTAGGGGAGGCAGGGCGTGCTCGTGCCTCGCTGCAGCTGTTCGTGCACGGGCATTCCCCGCGACGGCTGCAGTGGTTTATTTGGGACGCTGTTGCTATGCGAGGACCTTGATACCTACCGAAACCTTCTGGGTAGCTGAGGTAGCGGTAACAGCAGAATTTTTTTCACCAGCCAATTACTTTGACTTTCAGAATACACTGGCAAGTGTAAAGTTTCCTCAGAACTGTGGTATCCTAACAAAGCTGCCGAACTACTTAACGCATTAGATATGATTATTACCTGATTTATATCACAACACAGCAAGTGCATTAGCAAGTTTAGCCCCTGCCTCCTTGCGCATATAATGAGACGGCTAAAGAGGTATTTTGCTCTCATTTTCTTGTTGCTTAAGTATCACATTTTCTTTTGGTGACAACAGAAAGCCTTCCAGATCACGGTATCCCTAGAAAAAGATGTGGAAGCTCCATGTGACACACTCGATTACATCATAAGATATATTCCAAAACCATTTGTGCTAGCTGAATATTACCCCCCCTGCCCTGACCACACGCTTCAGGAGAAGCAAAGACTTCTGCAGAAATCCTGCGGCACAGAATGGCAGGGAGCTTGAGCCCATAGCACACATACTCATTCATTCATCATTTCTCTTGACCTGATTTTGTGCTCTAACTTTTCTGACAGCTTGCGAGTGTTTCCTTGGTGATCCAAGTTTGTTGCCAAAGCAGACAAATGAATCATCTATTTACAGTAAAAATGGGGAGCTGCCAGGGGAATACCTGATGCCTCGGCATGCGGTGTCCAAGGCTCGGGCCAGCCGATGACAAAGCCCTTCCTCTCGGCTCCCAGGCATGTGCCACGTCTGCACTGTGGCACCTACCCTGGCACCCAGGCTGTACGGACCCTCCGCCAGGACCACAGGACCGGTTGGTTAAGGTTGTCTTGAAATAGCAGCGCTGGATGGTAAATCTTGGGAGGAAAAACCTCAGAAAGCCAAGCTCTCCAGGCGGGCGGGTAGACAGGCTGCCCTGGTTCTTGTCTCAGACGTGTCCATGGCTCCAGGCAAGCTGTCCCAGTGCAGGACCCCTCTTCTTTTAAAATACATATTAGTTCACTTGCAGAGCATCTGAGCCTTCCACAAATACTCCTGCTGTAATGGAAATCATTCTTCTCCAAACCACAGGGGAAAATGCTTGCTTTTTCCAGCCTTCTCTCTGTCCTCTCTGGAGAGGTTAAAATCCCCCGAGCGCCGACAAAGGCACACGCAGGGTGCCCTGGCACCGCAGTCCCCTGTCACTTCTCTGTGCTGATTTAGCCAGGGGGTGGGATAACCAGACCCCACGTTCCCCAATGCATCCTGCTCAGCCCTGCTGCTCCTCCGGTGGCAGGAGCGAGCTGCCTGCATGACACCCCGAGCAGGCAGGCACCCTCTGCCCCCCAAAAGGTCCCCTGGTCTCCTCCAACACCCATCGGCAAGGTCGACGTACCAAGCGTGGGGTTACATCGCCTTGCTTTGGACATGGTGGCTCGCTCCCTCCTTTCCCAGGACTATTTGTTGTGAGACCCCAGCTGCTCTTCCCTGCCCACCGGGACGGGGAATGCCTCTCGCTCCAACTCGTGTTATCGATCCGACCGCTGCGGCATCCATGTTTATGCGTGCCCATCACTTTGGAGATCAGTGCTGAGCAGCGAGACGAAGGGTTTGTAGACACTTCTGAAATCTGCTCCCAAGGATATACACCGATCTCCTGGATCTCTTTGGATCAGCTCCCCAGAGCCAGGTGTCTGCAGAACAAAGGGGAGCAGCAGCCACCCCGGCAGCCCGGGGCTGGTCCGAGGACCCATGGTGGGGGTCTGCTGAGAGCGTTTGGTTTGCGATCCCATTTGGCTTCATCATTAAACCCAAATAGGAGGAGAAAATACGAGTCGTGGTTTTGGTCTACATAGAGGAGTAAGGAAACCGTAATTATTCACAGAAATCTGTAGAAAATGCATAAAATTTACGTTTCCTACTATGCAACCAAATTTGATTGCACAATAAAGTCGGCATTGAAACAGTGTCTAATAATGTCCTTTCAACTACATTTTTTCAGGTTAGACTTGGATTAAACCCCCGAATGGCTGGTTTAATTTCCAGTTCACTTCCACAGTTAAGCTTTAAAAAAATGGCATGTGAGGTAAATTCACAATTACAGCTCTGCTTTCAGCTGGAGCCAGTCAGAAGCGCGCTTCTTGCCATTAAATTGTATTTAGAGTGAGAAACTGTACTTTATTTAGCTCAGAGCAGTGCCAGAAGCAGGCGTTCCTCTGCAGCCTCCCTAGGGGTGCGAGCAGCGGGTGCTCTTGGGGCACGCCCCACGCACACCTCCAGACCTGGATGCCACGCAAAAAAGCACCAGCAGCTGATTTTCTTTGGAAAACACAGGCAGCAGAGACAGCCAGGGCACGGAAGCTCCCTTTCTTCCCCTCTTACTGCACGGCAGTGCGAAAGCACTGGCATGGAAAGCCAGATTTAAATTCAGCTCCCAGCTGAGCAAGAGGGGGTTCAAAGCCCACCGCCGGCGCTGCCCAGGGGAGCCACGGCCAGGCGGGGGTAACCGTGGGGGTGGCACCTTCTCTACACCCTCCTTACACGGGGCCGCGGCACGGAACCGGATTCACGGTTTGGTGTGCCAGAGCTGGAGGGGACCCAGCGCCCTAGCCCAAGGGCCAGCTGTGGAACTGGAAGGGTTTCAGACCCAGAGCTGTTAAAATGTTTTATCTTATGCCCATGAAATGTGAACTGCCTTGAAGCAAGACGGCAGAGCGGGACGTGGGTTCCTGGGGAAGCGTCTCTTTTGCACCGGGCTACGAGGCCGTGTTCCCCCTGGCGCAAGAAGAAAGAGCAATGACTCAAGTTTTTCCTACGCAGGGCAGGGCGTCAAGCGGGGCAAGGCAAGGAGTGCCCCTGTCCCAAGCACCGCGCGGGGCAGGGCAGTGACTCGGCAGCCGCGCACGGTGGAAGGCGGGGATCCCCCCACCCTGCCCTCCTCCCCGCTCCAGCCTCCCTCGGGAGAGGGCTCCACGGAGGCAGGCAAAGCTCACCTGGGAGAACAGCGGCAAGGGCAGCCCCTCTGCCCAGGGGAATCCGCAGCCCAGGGGGCTGCCACCGCCTCCGCCTGATGGCCTGGCCCTCGGGAACAGGGGCTGGGTCCCATCCCGGGGGAGACAGCGGGTTCCGTCACCAAAAATAAAGCAGCATTTCTCAGCAGCGTTGCAGTGGCCTGCATATCGATGCGTATTAAGCACATTTTTTTTTGGGTGCTTGGAGAAACGGAGGGGGGATGAGGAGCAGGGAGGGAAAAATGCCTCCAAAAACCAAAACGGAGACTCAAGAGCAGTAAGCGTGGGCTTGAAATTCCACTCCTGTTGGCTTCATAGAATCATAGAACAGTTTAGTTTGGAAAAGACCTTTAAGATCATCGAGTCCAACTGTTAACCTAACCCTGCCGTCCCACCACTAAACCCTGTCTCTAAAGAGCTTAAAAAAAAAAAATCCAAGCTTAAGAGACAGCGTTGCGTTGGTCAGGGCACAGACTGATGGACACTACACTTTGGTTTAAGGTTATTTTCCTGCAAAGGGATAAGTTCTGCTACGGAGAAAGGAAAGGGAGATCTGTATTAGAGAAAATTCATTTTATTGTAAACAAAGTATAAAGTACAACATAAGAAATGTGCAAATCTTTAAAGTAGTCACAAAAAGCGTATCTAACACACTATTTTCAAACTGTTCACTGCCTGATATGTGTCCTCAACATAATATGATAAAATAGAAATAGCGAAAGTTGATGCATTATTTGTCACAAAAGCTACAGTTTAAGTTCTAGGCCGGTGTCCTTACTGCCTCGTTTCACTTTTCGAATCACAACTTTCTCATTTGATACAAGACATAATATACCCATTTCGTCTTTAGTATAAAAGGTCCTTCAAAGCATACCGCGGCGTAGAAGCCTAAGATTCTTGGTTTTCTTCCTTAATCAACCCGAGCAGTTTACAGTTAGTTTACAGTTCATGTTTCGCTTAAAAGTGCACCGTATCTGTTTATGAAGAACGCAGCGGCACAGAACTGTGAGAAGGGACCAAGGAAACCATGAGCAACACAAAAGCAGAAGCGTCGTACGGTGCCCGGCTACAACCAATTGTAATAATCACAAAACTTGCCAAAGCAGCCGGGGAAATATTACAAAGCTAACGAGGGTTTCAGAACCGTCCCGACCCTCTGACTGCCCACGCGGTGCCCCTTGCCACCCACCCCACGCCCCCCCGGGAGGGACCGCAGTATAAAGCCAGGCGTGTTGAACACCCCGCACAGGAGGACAGGTCTAAAATCTCCAGGAGCTTGGCACCAAATCATTGCTTATGACTGGGCCGGAGAACAGATAGGAGGAAAAGGTTCCTACCGAGAAAAGGTGGCAGAAGTACGAAAACCGATTTAGATTATCTTACGCAGGTGCGTTCCGGGCTTTCGAGCCCGCGCCCGTACATTGCCGTCTCCCTGGTCTGTGCCGTACGGAAGGTTGACAACTGAAAGTTAAAGTGGGAGCTGGTCTCAAGCGTCAGCAGCAAACCTTCAGTACCACTTAGGCGTGCCTGAGCTAGAGTATATATACGAACAATTTGCAAAAAATTCAGAACTGGCACAGTGTGTGCTGCGCTGCTCTAGAACCTTCCCTTTCTCCCTCTCTCTCGTTACCAGTGCAAAAGACACCTGCTATTCCAGCCAGCCACCGGTTCTCCCAGCAAGGTTTTTCTGTGACCGAGCCCAGGCTGCCTTTGCCTCTCTGCTGCGCTGCCGTCAGCAGCCGGCGCCGGAGAACCACAGACCGGGAGCAAAAGCCTTTTTTTAGCTGGCACATCCCAGCGACAACAGTTAATTCCACCGTTCTTCAGAACGGGTCCTCTCACTGCGCGGTCGCAGGCGTTGGTGGCAGGGCAATATCGTTTAACTTGCTCACTTCCATTTGCCAGTTTGGCAGCTTCTTTGCTGACAAGTGGCGACGCGCGTGCTTCGTTAAGTGGTCACTCCTCATGAACCGCCGCTCGCACATCGGGCAGGCAAACTTCTTCTCGCCGGTATGCGTTCTGCGATGGCGAGACAGTTCATCAGACCGTGCAAACCTTCTTTCACAGCCTTTCCAACTACAACTAAACGGCTTTTCTCCTGGAAGAAAAAAAAGAAGACAAAAAAGCCCGAAGCCGTGAGTACCAACGGAGCGACAAATGCTACTGCCTTGACTGAAGGGATTTGGCTTTTTTGAAGATGAGTTTCTATTATGACCGTTGAGCCAAAACCCTACATAAATACGCATTATTTTTCTATCTATAAAATGTGAAAAAAAAATGTTTACATACCGATATTTAAACATACCAATTCACCATCCTCAAGGCTAGGGTTAACAATTCTCTGGAACCAAATAGTTTGGGATGCTCTTTACGTCTCAAGATAGCTGATTTTAATTCTCAGCTCCACAGGAACTGCAGATGATGAGACTGAGCATGCCCAAACCTACCCTCTGAAACGCAACCT